TTATCTTTAACTTTTAGATTTTAGGTATCCGTGTCGAAACGTTCATATACATTTTCAATTATTTTAGGAATGATCTAGGTTGCGTTTTAATAAAAAAAAATATTAACTCAACTTATCAGCAAAGAAATTTTAATGTCAATTTTTGCATGTTTCGCAAAACGTTTCAAAAGTATATAATGTGCGAAAGACACATTATTGCTACATACATACACGTAAATACAGATATGCGCATTTGCTTGAGATAAGACCTGTTACATCGCGATCTACTCGTCACGTTCTTAAATTTTAATTATGACACTGATCACAGTCTTCGTGATGAGACGTGCTAATATAAAGATATCAGAAGATTCTCGTCTATTCTACTCAACTACTCAGAAACGATATAAAATTAGTAACGCTGTTCCCCTTTTCGTCGTACATTAAGAACTGTATTTAAAAACAACTGGCCGATTTTATTCTTATAAACATTTATAAATATCAACTTATGTAAACATAAATGCTTCATATACGAGAAATGTGTCGAAAAGTCGCTACTTAAAAAAAATTTATCTTATAGTGCGATATCATCTAAATGACCTACGACATGATTTTTGTTGTCCGTGTTTATATCGTTTCTTTTAATTTGAAAGTTATTTTTCACGTTAGTATTCAATGTGTTACGTTGATATTATATAGCCCATTGATGTTTAATTTTCTATTTACCGAATGAGGCAAACATATTCTGTTATTTTATGAGTCGAGCATCGGTGTGAAACGTTGCAACAGTTTATCGTAAAACACGTTACGCAAAAAGAATATCTCACGCAGCAAAGTAACAGATCGTATTCGCAATAAATATGTTTGTAAAATAAATACATTTGTGCTTTTTTCCAGTTTATTATGCAAAAAGCTCAAAAAGGAGAAACTGACTAAACTGGTTATACGAATAAGTAACAATACTATATGTAAAATGTCTAGATATATGTGATATGTGTGCGTGAGTGTGAGTATGAAACAAGTAAATCCGTTTCCTCGGAGAATTAACGAGCTGTCGATTTGACACATTTGCAGGCGTACGAGCTGTCGACGTTGACCGGGACGCAGGTGATGTTACTGGTGGCGAGCGAGACCGGGCACGTGTACACGTTCGCGACGCGCAAGCTACAACCGATGATCACGAGTGACGCCGGGAAGGCGCTGATCCAGACGTGTCTCAACAGTCCGGACCCGCCGCCGTCGGGCTCGTCGGGCGACCAGAGGATGTCGGCGACCGGCTTCGAGGAGACCGAGCTGACGTACAACATCGCCGACGACGAGCAGAAAGTAAGGCAACTGGTGTACGGCTCGCCGCACGGTGGCTCGCTGCACGCCGGCTATCCTGGTGCCGGGCCCGGTAGCGGGCCAGCGGGCGGCCCGACCGCGGGGGCCCATCCGCAGCCGCCGCCACCGCCGCCGCCGGGCTCGCAGCACGCGCCACCCTCGCACGCGCAGCACGCGCACCTCATAGCGCATGCACACGCGGCGGCGGCGGCCGCCGCCGCATCGCCGACCTCGCACCTCGTCCCGTGCTCGAGCCCGGGCCCGATGCTCGCCGGAGGCCCATACCAGCAATCATGCCCCTCGCCCCTGCCGCCCCATCACGCCGCCTATCATCCCCATATGTCGCACTCGCACCCCCAACGGTAGTACGCGCTCGCCGCTCGTCGGCCCTTCGCGCTCCGTCCCCCGTTTCCGCCGCATTTCACGTTTTAACTTTTAAGACGTTGAAAAATCGGTGCAATCGAAGAGATCGCGTCGCGAGTATTAACGCGATACCGACGTTGCTGTGAGACGCGTCGTTGTATCGCGAGTCAGTGAGTCCGAATGTATTCCGAAGAGAGAGAGAGAGAGAGAGAGAGAGGAGACTTATCTCTCGCGTCTCGTTATGCTCACCGTGGGTGGGTTCGGTTTGATAGAACGACGCGAGTAATAATGTTTGTCATAAATTTGTGTATGTTATGTTACGTACAAAGAGCAACGGTTATCGCGACAATTATCGCGCAATTATTTATGAAACGTCATGCGGCGCGCGTTCAGAAATCTTTTTTTTTTTTTTATAAAAGATTGATGATTAAAAAGGTTCAATTTAACGAATGTTATCAGCCAAATGGCTCCAAAAATGAAGTAAATCACCGTTCAAATTGCGTATTACATATTTGACATTTTTTAAATATGTCTCAATATCGCAAACTTTTGATGCGTGTGTTTCGTTTATTTTTCACAATTAACTCTGCTCTCCCGTGAAATATACGGCGTACAACTATTTTAGCATACACCGACGCGAAGCCGCGCGCGGTTTTTAGATACCGAAATAATTTTCTCTTCGGATATCGCATGTACCACTGACGTAATTTCCCGCTAGACGTTGAATCGCGCCGGCGAGCGTGCCGTAGAGTCACGTATGGTATTTATTGAATTATATACGCGGCGGACGCGCGAAAGGAGGATTGTAGGCTTCCCTTGCGATCGAGTATTCTTCGTTTGGTCGTACATGACTACGACTGATGACGCGCGCGCAAATCTAGTCCAATCTCTCGACACGTTTTTACTTAAATATATATTATATATATCCATACGTTATATGCATACCCATATATGTATGTATATCGGTGAATCTCGATCAAATATTGCGTGCTTCGAATTTTGCGCTCCCGCGCGCGAAAGGGGTGGAAGGGCGGAAGCGCGTTGTATCGTCGAAATATGAAAAGTAGAGAGTGGTTTCCGCTTGAGACGATTTTGCCTAACGAACGAACGCAAGTCCCCTGTCAGCGTTCCCAGGAGCGAATCACGGATGGCTCGTCTACGATCGATAATCTCCGAGATCACCGCTCGTCCACGATCGATGATCTCCAAGATCACGAGCGGATTGTAAGATTCGATGGGACGAGTATCGGTCAATATCGGT